AAAAAAAAAAAAAAAAAAAAGTATAACGGGAAAACATGATATTCTGTGTCATTTCGGTGACTTCAGTGGAGACTTCTCCTTGAGCAGAACTTTTTTGATTTGTTCCATAAAGCAGAGGAAAAGCGACAGCACCGCCACTTGGTGCTGTCTGAATGGCCGCGCGCAGCGTCCGCGCTGTCATCTGCACAGTGCCCCGTCCCGGCGAGGCAGGCGGCAGCCGGCAGCAGCTCGTTATTTTAAAGCAGAGCTTTAATTCAAGCTGGGACCGAAAAGAGAGAAACAGGAGTGTCCTGGGCATAGGGATTCGGGCATACCATCACTGGCTGCTAAACATACCTGGAAAACCGGTAATTTTTGTCAAGGTCTAAATGTACGAATGCCCCAAACCACTTAATACTATGCCTGCGTTTGCCTTTGCCCTCGCTGCCCCGCTGGGAGGGCTGTTGGCCTCTCGGTCCTGAAAGTCCCACTTGCAGATGGACTGCTGCTGCCAGTTTGGGATAACGGGGCAACTTCCCACCATCAGCTTCAAACAGCCGGTGCACGGGCGAGTGAGACGGTCGTCACTCGTGGTGGGCATCTCCCCGGTGCCACGAGGCTCCAGGGGTGCTCAAAGAGGGCTTCTGTGGCCACCGTGCCGCGGAGGCAGAGCTCAGTCCCTCCGGGAACCCGGACTCCTCCGGGAAGATGGGCAGGACAGACCCAGCCAAAGCAGAGCAGCGCACTTTGGGAAAAGCTGATGAAAGACGACAGCTTATTTTTTTTTCTAAAGCGTGTACAAATGTACCTTTTACTGCCTTTTCAGGGTCAGTGCTCTTCACAAACACCCTCCTGACCATACGGGGAATGCTTGGGGATGCTGCCAGAGATGTTACCGTGGAAAGCACAACTTCCCAGCAATGGTTTGGGCCACGCCAGCCTGGAGTTAGAGGCCCCTGTCCTGTCGTTTTAGAGGTGCTGCTGTGGAAGTCACGGAGCAAGTTTTGGAGCGGGGTTGGTACACCCAAGGACGGGTGACAGCCACCCTCTGGGGTCAAGGCTGCATCCCCGCCTGGGGCAGATCTGGGAGATGCTCAAGAGATCTCTGCAACTGTGCGCACGAAAAGAAAGAAAACAAAGTAAATGGTGACAGGACAGCAAATAAAGTATTGGATGGCAGACGGATTAAGTGCATGGGAGAAGTACGAATGCTGCTGAGAAGAGCAGTCGGCTAAGGGATGCTGTCAGAAGGGGTGTACAAATCACAGCCTGACACTGAACTGGGCCAGGGAGAAACACCAAAACTGCCCGTAAGCAATGCAGAGAGAGCTGGAATGGGGCAAGTGGGACCAAACGCAGCGCAACGCAGAGCAGCGGCTCTGGAGCAGCCTGGAACGGGGTAGAGAGCACCGCAAGAAGAGTTGCGATGGAGTAGAGAGGAGTAAGAGGTGATAGCGTAGGTACGACAAGCTGTCCGGGTCAGCATTACATTGAGAAAAGTAGAGAAAAGTCTTCTTGGGACAACGCAAGGGAATCTATTTCTCAGCAAAGTCAGTTTTTGATAAGCACAACCAGAGAGTTTTTAAACAGAGAAATTCACCGACAGGTCCTGGTGTAAGAGCCCGACTTCGCGGAGGTGAAGGAGGGGGAAATGTGGGATGAGGTGTGCGGGTATCTGTGCCACATTCTCACGGGAAGAAATAAAACCTAATGTTCTCTTAAAATCAGTTTTGGTTAGCGACGGTGAGCATATGCCAGAGCCGACTGCTGGAAATAATCTGGCGTTAGAGAATCAGCAGTTGAGTGAGTTTAAATAAAGTGGAAGAATAA